GGTTGGAGGTACTGGGTGCTGTGGCGTTGTGGAGTCTGATGGCTGATGGTACAAACGAGCCTCCAAACCGCTTTGAGGCTCGGGCCTGAGCTCAGTGTAGAGAGGATGAGAGTCTTAAGCCTGCTCTTAAATGTGTAGAGGGTGTCTGCCTCCCGAACCAAAACTGGAAGCTGGTTCCACAAGAGAGGAGCTTGGGAGCTGAAAGCTCTGGCTCCTGTTCTACTTTTAGAGACCATTGTTTGTTGGCACCCGATGCCACCTCCCCAGTACACCACAGCAAAGAAGAGGACACTGGCCACTACAGACTGGTAGAACATCCGTAATAGCCGAGTGCACACGTTGAAGGACCTGAGCCTCCTCAGAAAGAACAGCCTGCTCTGTCCTTTCTTGTAGAGAGCCTCAGTGTGGTCCATCCAGTCCAGTTTATCCCCTAATCGCAACTGGGGAGGGGAGAAGTCGAAGAACATGATCCTCACGGAGCTCTGTGGCTTCTCCAGGTGGGTGTAAGCTCTGTGAAGAAGGTAGATGGTGGCATCATCCACGCCGATGATGGTCTGGTACGCAAACTGCAGAGGGTCCAGGCAGTCTGAGGTGCTGCAGAACCAGTCTCTCAAAGGTTTGCAAAGGTTGCAGTTACTGAGTTCACTGTTTGGGTTCATTGTACAGTTTTTAATATGTGAAATATTCATAAAATATGTCACTCAGTCAGGGGTTGTCAGTTTACTAAATGATAGAAAAGGGGGTCCTAAAGAAAAAAGGTTGGGAACTACTGACGTAATGCATTCATTGGTACCAACCAATGAACAACTAGCATGTTGGGAAGGGGACTAAATAAGTTGGGTTAGTTGGGTTACATTTTGGCAATGTAAAAACTGGCATGGCCATTTTCAAAATTATCCCTTGACCTTTGACCTCAAGATATCTGAATAAAAATATGGGAAGACTTCTCATTACAGACACAGCCCACTTTATGCTAATCCCATGTGGTATAAATGTGTTATTTCCTCCTAGTGTATTTGAATATGTCTTACTGGGGTCCATCAACAGTGCTGGAATTACATAAATTGGGAATGACTCGAAATCTGAGAACAGACTTGATGCCGACCATGCATAAGTCAGTGCCCAAGCTGTGCCACCCCAGTCAAAACAGTCTGGACATGCCCCTGCTAGCCAGGCATGTCATTGGGTCCAGGTGTTTATATGTAGAGAGTCCCTACAACAAAAACCTGAAATGGGTATAAAGACTCATGAAAATAAACTTCAAATCAGAAACATATTAAGTTATCTAACTATGTGAGTTACTGTAATATAAAACTGAAACCGGCCTCGCCTGACCCTGTTTGCACTGTGAGTGGTGTTATTGGGACAATGACTGGGGTGGGTGTGTGTTGGGTGTGTACATATTTTTTTGTGCTTGGTCTTAGGTGTTTGATTTTATTCCTCGCCATCCTGTACAGCTCTTTCTCATCTGTTTTAGTGGCTCTTCTTTCCTCACTTGTTTTCTCTCCATTTATTCTTTGCAGATGTTTAGTAACAGATATTCTCTCATGTTGCCCCAAATACATTTGCATTTTCTTTTCCCCATACATTTACATTAAAGCCTATGTTTTGGGGAAAAAACGCCTTAAGGCCAGGACACACCAACCCGACGGCCGACCGTCGGCAGAAAAGCAGTCGGACTGATCAGTCGTTCGAGTCGGGCAAAAAAGTTAAAGTCAAAATGAACGCCGACTCCGACTGACGACGGCACGGGACACACCGAACCGACTCGAGTCACCGACCTCGCCCGACTGTCCGACGACGTCCTACGGGCGATAATCGGGTTGGTGTGTCCGGGCCTTAAAAGAGAGAGAAAAAAACTGCTGACTGTATTAAATGATCAGGCATTGTGGCTCATTTTGAATTTGTCTGAGCTGTAGCAGACTGTTGAAGACTGATATAGACTCACTAGGTCAGTTTAAAGCTGCATTCAGTGTTGATGGCCATAGGAGTGATGAGTGAACGCTGCCCTCTTGTGTGTGAAGCAGTGGTGTTTTCTTTGGTTCCTCAATCTCATACTTTACTACTTAACCCATTTGCCAAGAGTCGGCCATAAGTGACCAAAGCAGACAATGTAAAGTACTCTACTGCTGAAGAGTATATATATGGTCCGTGTATGTTTTGGTCATTGGATTGTCCTTTCAGAAACGGGTATTAAAAAACAGAAAACGAGTGGTTATTTGATTTTCGTTTTAAAATACAAAAATTCAAATTGAAATACAAGGCGTTTTTCTTTTTCATGGTCAAAAAGGGATGAGCGAAATAAAAAAAAATGATTCGATTTTCATTTTCTATTTCATATAACAAAAAATAAAATCACTAGAAAACAGAAACGGAAAAAAGGCCTGTTGTTTCATATTCTGAGACTGGATGTTGTCCTTTACAGGACGGTGCGTAAAAACAGTAGGCTAGTAGACTGCGTTCAATCCAGCCGGTCCGATCTCCGTGGTCAAAACCCACCTTAAATTCCAGTGTATTCTCAGCATTATGGTAAATGGGAGAAACTATTACTTCCGATTCTAAATAAATAAATAAATAAATAAACCACCTGCAAAAGGGAAAAATAATTAGTTTTAACTTCAAAACACCATTGTACTTACTGTCTCTTCCTCATATATTATTTTTCCCTTTTACAGATTCAGTTTGACAGCTGTTGCAGGTGGTTCCACATACAGTGCCTACAAATGGACACAGCAGAGCTGCAAAATAAGAAGAATCTGGACTGGAATTGCATTTTGTGTGAAAAATAAACAAGTTAGAATTGTATAGGATTTTGTGTTTAGTGTTTAGTCTTTATATTGTAATTTTCTATAAGATGTTATTAAACATTTGTGTGAAATTTTGTCATGATTACTGTATCATTATTGAAGTATAATGAAAATGCTTCACCCATAGCCTGGAAATATTGAGCAATATGTTTTTACAGTAGCTCAAATATAAGAAAATATGGAATCTGGAGGCATAAATATGTTACATTTATTCTTAAATTTCCCCAAATTGGTGCAGTAAAAATGCTTGATATTAAGTATACTTGTAGTCTTAGATGTGCAGAAGTCAAATATACCATCCATAGCCAGGAATTATTGAGCAAAGTGTTTTTACAGTAGCTCAAATATGGTCAAATATGCCACTTGGAGGTACAAATATGGACTTTTATTGTTGAATTTCTCCAAATTGGTACAGTAAAAATGCTTGATATTAAGTCTGCTTGTAGTCTCATATGTGTAAAAGTCAGTAGCCAGGAAACACTGAGCAATATGTTTTTACAGTACGTCAAATACGGTCAAATATGCAATATCTGGAGGCATAAATATGAGGCTTTTATTTTGGCATTTCTCCACACTGGTGCAGTAAAGATACTTGATATAAAGTATTTTTTATTCATCATGGGCGCATGAAACACTTTAATGTAACATATTTTATTTTAAATGTAGGTTCAAATTATAGCTTACTGTTCTTAATACCAGTTCCATATCTTGAAAGAGGCCATAGTAACCTATTACCCCACTAGAACATTTACGTACTCTAAATGCAGGGCTACTTGTGGTTCCTATAGTCTAAAAAGTAGAAAGGAGCCAGAGCCTTCAGTTACCAAGCTCCTCTCCTGTGGAACCAGCTTCCAGTTGTGGTCGGGAGGCAGACACCCTCTCCACATTCAAGAGTAGGCTTAAGACATTCCTCTTTGATAAAGCTTATAGTTAGGGCTGGATCAGGTGAGTCCTGAACCATCCCTTAGTTATGCTGCTATAGGCCTAGACTATCGGGGGATTTCCCACGGTGCACTGAGCTTCTCCCTTCCTCTCTCTTTCTGCACTCATTCATGTTCCATTAATGCATGTTACTAACTCCACTTCTTCCCTGGAGTTCTTGTGCTTCGTCTCGCAGGTTCTCATGGATCCTGGTGGCCCCTGCCATGGTCCTGCTTGACTGCCATTGCCAATACTGTTGTTGCTGTGCACCTGTCTGTCTGTCTGTCTCCGCTCTCTCTCTCCGCCTCTGCCTCTCTCTCTCTCTCTCTCTCTCTCTCTCTCTCTCTCCTCTCCCTCAAATGGTCGAGACAGACGACCACCCACCTAGAGCCGGAGGATCTGTCCTAGGATTCTGCCTTTTAACAGGCAGTTTTCCTTCCCTTGTCACCAAGTGCTTGCTCATGGTGGTACTGTTGGGTCTCTGTAATTAATGTTAAAGAGTTGTTTAGACCTGCTCTATTTGAAAAGTGTCCTGAGATAACTTCTGTAATGAATTGGAAATGAAAATCGAATCATTTTTTAAATTTCGCTCATCCCTTTTTGACCTTGAAAAAGAAAAACGCCTTGTATTTCAATTAGAATTTTTGTATTTTAAAACAAAAATCAAATAACCACTCGTTTTCTGTTTTTTAATACCAGTTTCTGAAAGGAAAATCCAATGACCAAAACATACACAGACCATATAATAATAGTAATAAATAATCCTATATGTAGATTGTATTATTCTATAACAAAGCCTAATACTTTATAAAACATATGTGTAATTGTCAGATGAATGCAGTGGAGTGAAAAGTAGCCCACAGCATTTTTCCTTTCAAATGTAGTAAAGTAGAGAACTGAGTTATGTAATCAGGATACAAAAAACTGAAATCCATTACAGTTGCAGATAAAAATATGTAATCAGATATTACATTTAATAATAATGGGGATTATTTAGCAGGATTATAATTTCAGTTTTTCTTTAAAAATACACAGAGTACATTTTTGATGGATAAAATCTTGGTTTCCATTTTCTTTTCTGTGGTCACATAGAAAACCCTTACATCAGCACGACCCTTCCCCAACCCTGAGTATTGTAGCATTAAATGGAAATGAAAAGTACCTGGCAATTGCTCTGCTACCTGCTTGCAACAACTGGGTGTCCCGTTGTATTATCATCCATCCGCTGGGGGGCGCTGGGACAAAATAAAGCCGCTTTTATGAGCACCACGGAAGCCTTTGTTCCGGGTTCCGCGTGTTTGTAGAGGTGCACGCCGCAGGACGTTTAGCAGCAACATAATACCGCAACATATTACCGCAACATAATACCGCAACATATTACAGCCCGGTAACGTTTGTTGTTGGCGGAGACATGGTGAAACTATCTGCGGAGCTAATTGAGCAGGCTGCCCAATATACCAACCCCGTGAGAGACCGGGAGCTGGATTTACGAGGTCGGTTCAACTTTCCTCTCGACTACATAACGTTAGTTAGTTGGTCATGCAGGCCCGCCAAAACCGAACAACATTCAACCACATTCAACAACGTGACACACTGCTGTTTTCCACTGTGTGACTCTAACCGATACATGTGTTTTCTGTAGGCCGAAGTTACCGCTGGTAGCTGCAACATAACGTCAGCTAAAGTCTGACAGCGACTCTAATACCGCCATTAGTATCCTGAGCAACGAGTGAGACAAAGACCGTGGTATCCACAGGGGAGTGCTGCTGTGGACCCCCATATTGAGTGGAGTTAGCGGAAACACCTGCACTTTGTATGATATAGTGACTGCGACATTTTACAGAGTAACAAACAAGAGATCCGAGGGCTAGCCACTGTTAGCGTAAGTTGCCAACATGGCTCCTGGAGGAGGGAAGGGAAGGAGAGCGAAACTCAGTTAACCTCCAAACACTGAAACTTACAACACATGAAAAATACGTTGTTTGGAGTACATGCAAAGAAAAAAGGCGATACTTGGTGCTAATTGTTTGAGGCCCCGTGGGTTAAAAGGTTCAAATGTCTGCAAAGACATCCACCAGTTATCTGCACACAACTTGAGAGCTCAGCCCTGTGGGGCGCCCCGCTAGCTCACCTGGCTGAGCTGGTGCCTCTGCACCAAGGCTGAGTCCTGAGACTACATAGTGCGGTGCCCGTCTAAAACCTACCTGTTTTGTGAGAACTCATTTAAAACTCAAACCTGAAGCTTATATAGTCTATACATAATAGCTCTGTCAGTCCCTTTATCCTCATCATACTGATCTCTGGAGACTAAACGTAATGATTTCTAGTGGTTCTTCCTCAACATTCATGTGTTTTTCATCACCCAGGTTATAAAATCCCAGTGCTTGAAAATCTCGGGGCTACTCTGGACCAGTTTGACACTATTGACTTCTCTGATAATGAAATCAGGAAACTGGACGGCTTCCCTCTGCTCAAAAGACTGAAAACACTGCTAATGAACAACAACAAGATTTGGTAAGTTATAGCTGCAACACCAGTGTCCCAATGGGAAAAAAACACTGATGTTCCAGTTAAAGATCAAATCATGTTGATATTGGAATTTCCCCATTGTGGGACAAATAAAGGAATAGCTAATCTAATTGTTTTGTTGTAAATGTACAAAATATGTGCTGACTGACAGTGCCTGACGTTAACCTGCTTGCTTATTATTTTGCACACATTGTATATGTTTAGGCAAGCTCTGGTTCAGCACTATCAGGCTAGCCTAAACTGGTCTCAGTACACAGAGCTGTTTGTAACCTGATGAACTGTTTCTCAAGTCGCATAGGTGAGAATCTGGAGCATTCTCTGCCATGTTTGACAGAACTGATTCTCACAAGCAACAACATTCAGGAACTGGTGAGTGCATTTCATCTGAAAAAAGTTTTATATCTTGACTTGATATATTTAAATCAAAATGGAGAATGATATACCAGAACAATAGAAATTCCTCTATTTATTTATCCTCTATACAGCGCCGCTATAATTTCTACCTGCAGATTCATTCATTTTTCATTCGTCATTTTTGTCTGTACGAATCTGTCATCATTTTGGAGATTTTTCAGCACTGGATACAATTCTAAACAATCTTACAGCACAACAAACCGCAGCGCCTCTCTCTGCCAGCAGGAACAAAAACTGATCAGCTACATTGTGGTGTTTAAGGGATGTTGTGTTACATTTTTACCGGTGTTATATTTCTCAGGCATTTCAGTGTATTTTGTTGCTCGTATTCATTTTACTCTTTCGGGTAATTTAGTAGTAGTAGTAGTAGTAGTAGTAGTAGTAGTAGTAGTAGGAAGGTAATAATATATAGAATAAGCCATAAACACTGATAGATACAGATAAATCAAGCCTGCAGTAAATGAAAAGGTTTGAAGAATCACAGGAAGGCAATACTATAAAAGTACATTTACGAGTGGACTTAAATCAAGTGATAGTTAGCCATCCTGACTTCCTCTTGAAGGCGGTCCAAAAGCTTGGGCCCTGATGGCAAACAGTTTAGTTTTTAAATCTGATTTGGGAACCACCAGGAAAGCAGCATTAGAGACCCTCAAGCCCCTGTGAAGGCACACAGGGAGTTAAAAGGTCAGAGATACTGCTTAGGGCCAACCCATTCTGAGCCTTTAAAAGTGAAAATGATTAAAATTAAAACGATAAAATCTACAAATGTGTTCTTGTCTTCTGATTCCTTGAAATCCTGGCAGCTGCATTTTGGATCAGTTGTTTTTTTTCTTTCTTATTTTAGAGAAGTAACTTAATCTTCCTTTTAAATACAACACCAAGGTTTCTACACTGCTGAGTAATAACACTGGAGTGTGCATGGTTGTAATTTGAGGTTAATGCTTTAATTAATGAATCTCATCTGAGGTAATAAATTAGCACACAGAGCTCCCACTGTGTGTCATTCTAAATCAGTGTTGTTTTCATGTGTAGGGTGACTTGGACCCCCTGGCCACAGTGAAGACTCTGACCCTTCTCAGGTATGAATCATCACATCAAGATAAATCTGTTATTGAGCCGTCTTGTGCACCACTGAATTATATTCCTACATGTTGCTGAATTTCCAGCTTGTTAAGGAATCCAGTGACAAACAAGAAGCATTACAGGCTCTACGTCATCAACAAAATCCCACAGATCCGCGTGCTTGATTTCCAGAAGGTGAAACTCAAGGTAAGTGCACGTGGGCAGGTACATATTTGGCATATGTTCGATTTAAATATGTAAAGTAATGTCAGACACAGAAGTCAAAACAGCGGTTATTAACAATGTGTTAAACTCTTCCTCCCTGGAGTTAACGCCCTGTACAACGCCCAGAGGACTTCTGGTGCCATGCGTTTTTCCTTGCTGGCTCTTTTGGATTAAAGCTCTGTGTGTATTTAATGAGGCTTTTTACTTTAACTGTGTGATATCGTCATAGGAGCGGCAGGAGGCGGAGAAAATGTTCAAGGGCAAACGAGGTGCTCAACTTGCAAAGGATATTGCCAGACGAACAAAAACGTAAGATGAAAGTCCACGTTAGACAGCAGCTCCTCAGAACCACTGGATCCTGGCTGACGGAACGGGTTAAATAATGCCAAAAAATAAAGAGTCAACACCAGTCATATACAGTATATCTCACTGTTCTACGCAGTTATAGACAAAGTCAGATTCTGTCTTCTTTGAGTTTGTCCCAATGCAAGGAAATCCTTTTTAAACATCTGGGAACCACCAAAAGCTTATTTCTTGATCCTCCTCTCAGCCAATGTGAGCAGAAACCCATCTTTATATAAATTCCATCCTATAACTGAAGCCTACCGTTTGAACCTGAAGCCAGACGTGCTCAGCACAGTGTTGCTCAGGACTGCTGTCTGTGGACGATGTATCAGTTTATCTGACTCAAGAAAAGATACTACACATGAGATTGACTACACTGGTTGAGAGGTCAGAGAGGCTCGAGCGTGTCCGTGTTGTCTAAACAAAGTGCGTTCCTTTCAGATTCACTCCCGGGGTGGCAGCACAGCTGGAGAAGAAGAGGACGGGGCCGTCTCAAGCTGATGTGGAAGCCATCAAGGTTGGTTTGTACACAAAATGTGTTTTTGGGCTTGGTGGCTTGAAAGTGAGCTTGAATTTCCATCTATCTGAGGTTTCCATTATATTTTGCCTTCTTCCTCAGAAGGCAGAATAAATTCAGTTTGATTTTAACTGTTATTTATGGCCTCTGGCTATATTAATGTTAGTGTCACTGTGGAGATGAGGCCCTGCTGATGTACTAAAATAATCTGTATGGAGGTTTACCCTCTAGCAGTGACCTGAATGTAAAGTGAGGTTCACCTATGCGTGTGTTTGCATTTCAGAACGCCATCGCTAATGCTTCATCGTTGGCAGAGGTGGAGCGGTTGAAGGGGATGCTGCAGGCCGGTCAGATCCCAGGCCGAGATCTCAGACAAGGTCAGTTTGGACCAACTAACTGTTTTCCAGCGGGCACGGCAGCGATGCAGCCCCCTGAGCTGATCGTGTCAAAACTAGACGGTGCTTGTGACGCCATAGAACATTCCTGGTGGGATCAAAGCAAAATACTGTATAACCAAGTGGGGCTTTTTGAGGCTTTTGGAGCTTTTTGCTTGGTGAAACGCATTTGTCCAGAATTCCACACATTGTGATTATTCAGGACAAAGTGTGAAAATGTGCGCTGACTCAGTCACAGTAATGTTTCTGACTGGTAATTGGTGGTTGTTGTATTTTTTTAACCAGCTTTTTATAACAAAAGGACCAAACATTGACTTTATCTCACTTTATATCCAAAGCCTGATGTATCCTGTTATTCCTTTGTGCCCTAGAGCTGCACCGGTTGCTGCCAGCTGTACTAGCTGATGTTCCTTCTTAACCATGAACACACACACTGTAGTTTATTTTTAGCAGTCCCATATTCACTGACATGCTGCTGCAACTACTCACTAAAGCACCATATTGGTGGCTTAATCTGTTGCTGAAAATAGTCCCCAACAAAGGATACTTGCAGTTCTAAACCATAGCTTTCTAAAAACTACAGTGTCCAGCTGCTATTAAAAGAGAGCCACAGACACAGTAAGGAAGTCGGAAAGTACTGAAAGACGGACTGAAAAGAATATAGGACCAGTCCTACCTTTTTAAATCCTCCTGAGTTTAATGGATTTCTCTTACAATTCATTGTATGTTGATGTGTGGATGGATGAATATATTCATTTGTAAAATCAGGTCCAGCTGGGATGGTGGAGGAGGAGGAGGAGGAAGAGGAAGAAGAAGAAGAGGAGGAAGAAGGAGAGGAAGGGGGTGCACAGATGGAGCCACAGATAGATGAAGGTGCTGGAGAGGAGATCAATGAGGGAGATCAGGAGGAGGACGATGAAAACATGGATGTGGAGCAACATGTGAATGGCTCCTGAGTGCCGGGAAAGCATTTTTGGTTTTTTTCATGTTGTAGATTTCTTGTGTTGGTCCTATGTTTACTAGGACTTTTTTATTTTGTAAAACCACATACAATAAACTGATTTATTATATCGCTGTGTGTGGGAGAAGTTTGTGTGAATGCAGTCCACCTGTACATGTGTATTGCACTTCCACAAGTTTGCAGCACTCACGAGAGATGGATTAAACTGCTCAAAATAGATGTCTAAAGTCAGCGGGGTGCCAATTTATTGATTTAATCTATATATAAATCAGTCCCAACATTTGCAGGCTTGATGCTCATTTTACAACAGCTTTTAGAAACAATTTCAATGCATGTTTTGAGGTTTTTTTTGCAATGGTGTTACATGGCGAAAATTCATAATTCATTAAAAATTTAAGGCATCTTGTTACAGTGAGAATAAAATGCCTAGTAGTTTGGTGACTAATGGCTTAACATGTTATACAGGAAACTACAATGATTGGTCATTTGTAGAAAAGACCAGTTAATAGGACATTTGATATGGGATACTACACTACAACCATCTGTTTCACACTTTAGTGACATGATTAAATTTTCTTACGACGTAAAAAGCAATTTAATACTTATTTTACAGTAATTTTTGGGTGAGATCTCACCAAGGTTGTTTATTAAAGCAGAAAGTTGTGTGTATTTATGATCTTTCTTAAATTGTATTTAGTAAAGACTTTTGGGAACACAGGTATAAACTCTGAAATGTACATAAAGTATAAAGGTTAAAAGTACTCTTGGTTTCGCAGCTCAAATGTATGACAACTTAAGTAACCAGCTTTGAAAGCTGTTTTGAAAATGTAAGGAGCAGAAAGTACATATATTTGTTTAAAAATGTACGGGTTAAAAACAAAACTTTCTCAGAAAAAAATACTCAAGCAAAGTACAGATACCTGAAAAAAAACACTTAGGTACAGTAACAGTATTTGTACTTTATTTCCCACCCCTGCAAATAAATAGATAACCTAAATAATCATAACAAATAACACTGATCTGCACATAAAGAAGATTAAAACATAAAAGAGGAGTCAATGATGACAGCTTCTGGCAGACAACCACAACGCTGACGCAGGCACAAAGGGGATATGACGTCATCGACAGGAGACAAGTGAAACAGCGTTACCTGAATAATATGACACATTTCTCTGAGTTTAAACTTTGTTGGAAACATTTGGGATAATGGAAAAACTCAAATACAAACAGAACACAGGTAGAATTTATACACTGTTTAATGATCATAAGTTATTGATTGCTTCTCTAACAGGAGGAGAGTCTCCCTCCTACAGAGGACACAGAGACACTGAGGACCCAGGCCTGTCAGACCAGAACCTGAACCCAGGATAAAGAGGTTCAGTGAATGTGGTGTTGGAGGTGTGGAGGTGGATCAGCGTGTCAGAGGAGACTCTGTAGAAGGACAGAGTGCCAGCAGGCCAGTCCACATACACCGCTACCCTGTCAGAGGCGGAGGCGGAGGAGGTGGTGATGTATGTTGCTTTGTTGTTGTGCCACACAGAGTAACCAATGGTATCAGAGCAGACCAGACTCCAGGACTGATCATTCCTTCCAAACAAACACTCATATCCATTCCCTTTCTTGCTGATTCCTCTGTAAGTCACTGCTATGTGAAGTCTTCCACTCCACTGCACCTCCCAGTAACAGCGGCCAGTCAGACCATCTCGACACAGCAGCTGAGGCCAGTAGTCAAATCTGTCTGGATGATCAGGATATGACTGATCCTCCTCCACGTGGGACATCTTCCTATTGACGTCAGACAGTTTGATCTTCCTGTTCACTGTGTTTATGTCAAGCGTGAGCTTGCAGGAATCTGATGGAAAAAAGAAGACACAATGCAGCTGCAGTTATTGATCTATCATCTGATCATTTAAGTGCCACAATAATGTTTTTGAGTTAATATCTTCATTTAGGGGATTTTTCAAGCAAATATTGATATAAGTGATTGTTTACAATTGAATCAGCATATAAGCATATATTTTTTGCCATTAAAGTTTCTATACCCCCCTCTGGACACTAGTGATGGGAATTCCGGCTCCTGGTTCCTTTGGCTCGGCTCACTAAAAAGAGCCGGCTCTTTCGGCTCCCAGATGGCTCCTCATTTTTTTTGTTGCTTAAATTAATTTATTACCTAATTATGTGTTAAATGAATATCTAATGTAAATACATGCATTATATTAAATGTTTATTATTTATATGGATTTATTAATTCAATTCAATTCAATTCAATTTTATTTGTAGAACAGAAGTTATCTCAGGACACTTTCCAAATAGAGCAGGTCTAGACCGAACTCCTTATAACATGAGGAATTTACAGAGACCAGTAGTAGAGAACAGTACCACCATGAGCAAATATATACTTAATATACTCAACATGGAACAGAGTGCTACAAAAATAAATTATAAAACACAAAAACAAAGAGCCATCTCAATTAGACAAAAAGCTGCTCGATACGAAATGTTTAACTTTGCACAGTCTACACTCTGCCTTTGAACTGTCCAAACTTTACTACACTTCCTCACCTTTCCAGTGTGTAGTCTCTGTCTATGTAGCGCCTAGTTCTCTCTCTCTCTCACACGTCTCCCTCCCACCTGTTCGTGTGCTCACTGTGCGTGTGTGTCTGTAAACCCTCCCTCCCCCCTCCTGCTCAGTGTAGATACACAGACACCGCCACACATCTTGACCAATCACGCGGCTTTAACAGAAAAAACTGGGAAAAAATCCAGATCCGCTCTCGTCATTCACTTCATAGAGCCGGCTCTTAGAGCCGGATCGTTCGCGACCGACCCATCACTACTGGACACCCCAGGAATATTTAGAGCCACCTCTGGCCACTTTGATTTTATGAATCAAATTAAAAACACACTTACACTTCCTCAGACCTGGTCTCGACCACTGGACTCCACCAGGCTCCGTCCTGAAAGCAGGGGGGTGGGTCAGACCAGCATTCAAACATGGATCTCACATTGCTCTCATACACAGAGGTTTATTATTCTCTACAAATGTACTTACACATGTAGCACTTATTAATTAGCTGATATTCCTTTAAAAGGACCGGTGTGTAAAATTCAGTGGCATCTAGCGGTGAAGTTGCAGATTGCAACTAACCGAATACAGCTCAGCCTTCCAAGCATGTAGGAGAAACTACGAAAGATGCTGAAGACCCTATCTAGAACCAGTGTTTGGTTTGTCTGGGCTACTGTAGAAACATGGCAGTTCAACATTCATTGTAAGCTAACAAAAACGCAACGATACACTAATTACATGTCTGCCTCTGGAATGTTACACTGGACCTTTAATTCTCTCATTATTGGCTGCTTACTATAACTTATCAATCCACCGTGATGCCCGGCAACACGTCTGGATTCACCATTATCATATTATCCACTGTTGATACAAAAAATGACTGTGCCCTGATGTGGGACACAAACACTTGTATGAGTCAGTGTAAGCTCTGACTAAGGGTCATATGAGCTGAGAGAAAAAGCTCTTTCTCCTCTATCAGACAGAGTGTCTGTGGCTTTAACAGGCCTCCCCATACCTGAGAGTCTTCAGTCTCCAGTGCGGATCCTCTACTCCAGCAGACAGCGGCTTCACTCCCGATTCTCCTGGGTGATTGTAACTCAGGTCCAGCTCTCTCAGATGGGACGGGTTGGAGCTCAGAGCTGAGGCCAGAGAAGCACATCCCCCCTCTGTGATCAGACAGCCTGACAGCCTGCAAACACACAAAATAAAACACATCACATAATCTGACTGTGTAGACAATAGATTGTCTACACAGTCATTTATCCATATATGTAATGGGGAATTGTGATCAGTTGAACACGTTGGTTAAAACTTACCTGAGAGTTTCCAGGGTACAGTGTGGACTCGACAGTCCAGCAGACAAACGCTTGACTCCCGAATCCTGCAGGTTGTTGTTACTCAGGTCCAGCTCTTTCAGACTAGTGGACTGGGAGCTGAGAACTGAGGACAGAGCTTCACAGCTTCTCTCTGATAGGTTACAGCCACTCAATCTAAAGATACAGTAAACAGGGAAATATAAGTAGTATGTTTTTTTTCTTTTATGTTGAAAATATAGAAGACTATTAGAAGATTTGACAAATAAATCCAACGCTCTCTGTACTCACATAGCTTTGTTTGAGGCTTTGACCACTGGCAGCAGCCTCAGAAGAGCCTCCTCTGAGTCAGAGTATTTCTTCAGGTCAAACACGTCCAGATCTTTCTCTGACGACAGTAAGATGAAGACCAGAGCTGACCACTGAGCAGGAGAAAGTTTATCTGTGGAGAGACGTCCTGATCTCAGGTACTGTTGGATCTGCTCCACCAGAGAACAGTCATTAAGTTCATTCAGACAGTGGAACAGATTGATGCTTTTCTCTGGAGAGAGACATCCTGTCTGTGCCGGTAGGCCTCGTAGGAGATTCTGATTGGTCTGTAGTGAAAGTCCCAGGAGGAAGCGGAGGAACAAGTCCCAGTGTCCATTTGGACTGTGTAAGGCCATGTCTACGGCGCTCTGATAGAAGTGAGTCTCTGCATATTTGCCTTTTTGTGTTTCACAGTTCATGGAAGTTGTCTGTTCTTCTGACAGCAGGTTGACTCCAGTGTTAATGAATGTCAGATGGACATGAAGAGCAGCCAGAAACTCTTGAACACTCAGATGGACAAAGCAGAAGACATTTTCCTGGTACAGTCCTCTCTCCTCTTTAAAGATCTGTGTGAACACTCCTGAGCACATCGAGGCTGCTGTGATATCGATGCCACACTCTGTCAGGTCTGATTCATAGAAGATCAAGTTGTCTTTCTGCAGCTGCTCAAAAGCCAGTTTTCCCAGAGACTCAATCATCTTCCTGCTCTCTGGATTCCATTGTGGATCTGTCTCAGCTCCTCCATCATACTTGATGCTCTTCCGTTTGGACTGAACTACCAGGAAGTGGATGTACATCTCAGTCAGGGTCCTAGGCAAATCTCCTCCCTCTCTGGTCTTCAACACATCCTCCAGAACTGTAGCAGTGATCCAGCAGAAGACTGGGATGTGGCACATGATGTGGAGGCTTCTGGATGCCTTGATGTGGAACAAGATTTTGTCAGCCTGCTCCTCATCTGTAAATCTCTTCCTGAAGTACTCCTCCTTCTGTGAGTCAGTGAACCCTCTGACCTCTGTCACCATGTCAACACACTCAGGAGGGATCTGATTGGCTGCTGCTGGACGTGTGGTTATCCAGAGGCGAGCAGAGGGAAGCAGTTTCCCCCTGATGAGGTTTGTCAGCAGCACATCCACTGAGGTGGACTCTGTAACGTCAGTCAGGATCTCAGTGTTGTGGAAGTCCAGAGGAAGTCGACACTCATCCAGACCGTCAAAGATGAACACAACCTGGAACTCTTCAAACCTGCAGATTCCTGCTTCTTTGGTCTCAGTAAAGAAGTGATGAACAAGTTCCACCAAGCTGTACTTTTTATCTTTCAGCACATTCAGCTCTCTGAAGGTGAATGGAAATGTGAACTGTATGTTCTGGTTGGCTTTGTCTTCAGCCCAGTCCAGAGTGAACTTCTGGGTCAAGACTGTTTTTCCGATGCCAGCCACTCCCTTTGTCATCACTGCTCTGATTGGGTGATGTCCTCCAGGTGGAGGTTTAAAGATGTCTTCGTGCCTGATTGTTGTTTCTGGTCTGTGTGGTTTCCTGAATGCTGTTTCAATCTGTCTGACCTCATGTTCATTATTGATCCCTCCAGTCCCTCCCTCTGTGATGTAGAGCTCTGTGTAGATCTGGTTCAAAGGGGTTGGGTTTCCTGCTTTAGCGATCCCCTCAAACACACACTGGTACTTGTCCTTCAAGGAAGATTTAAGTTTTTGCTGGAGACAAACTGGAGCAGGATATCCTGAATGAACACACAACACAGATCGATAAGTCTAAGTTAATTTCCTCAAATAATTAGTATATAATCACGTCCCTCATCTCTTGTGACATTAGTAAATGTCCAATTTATCTAGCATGTTCAACCTTTAGAGAAGTTCTCTTACTACTCTGCAGACGGTCAGCCAGCTCCACCTGATGCTGTCTCCTTAGAAAGTGCAGTGTGATCTTCAGAAATGCCTCTCTGCTCCTCCTGTGCTCTTCCTCCTCAACATCCAACGCATCCTCTTCCTCTCTGCTATTTAAACATTCTGGATAACCTGAACTCAGACACTTCTGGATATCCTTCAGCTCACTCTTCACAAACTCAACAATGTTCTCCTCCAGCAGCTGGAATACAATGTTATTTAAATGACACCATCAACAATAAATCATGGAACCTAACATTAAATCCATGTTGGACAGGCTGACAACCGACTAAAAGGTCCAATGTAGATTATTGTGATGTAATGTACGAACCCTAAATATGGAGTCCAGGTGTGTCTGATCACTGGGAACCTCTGAGCTCTCCTCGCCGACACTGTGGATCAATCATGAATTGTTAGCTCACATTATGAACTAGTCCTGCTGATCCCACTGAGAATTAACAGCTCAGTCTGCTGCTGTTTGTAGTTCTCAGCTGCTCAATATCTGTTCGTATCAGATTGGTTGCACTGGGCAGCTACCAGATTGATAAAGTAAGGATACAAATCCTTACAAACAAAGGCAGAAGGGTTGTATAGGAATGAGACTGGAAAATCATAGAGACAGGCAAGCATGTTGGCAAAAATTAGGGTTCAGGTAACAGGTTACTAAGAATGGAATATATCAATTCATAATTTTAAGGTGTCTACCAGAACTGTTTCTCAAATGGTTAAACAGAGTCTGAAAGCCCTTCTCCCAGCACTTTACTGATTCAAGGGGTTTGTGTCCAATTGTTTCTGTATCCTTTCTGAACACTCTCTTTTTTCTCACCTTCCATCATCAGGTTGATTAAAAGCCAGAGGAGGCTCCATTGATGCATCACTCATGGACACACAGCTATGTGCAGGTTCAGGTCCAGGAAAGTCTGGTGTGTGTTGCTGCTCTGGACTTCAACACAAAATCAAATCGCAGTTTATCGCCTTGCTTACAGTATCGCAATATGTCAAAATATACTGAATGGTAATTGTATCGCCAGATTCTTGCAATACACAGCCCTATTATCGACAAACTAACCGACAGAAATTACAATTAGAGCTGAAACAATTAGTCAAATGACGGAAACTTAATTGCCGACTATAATCGTTCAATTTACATGTTAAAATAGCAAACAGACAAGTAGGTGGATGTAGGAGTCAGGTGGCTGGGGGTATCCAGTGAGAATAGAAGGGCAGACTGAGTAAAATAAAAACAACTGAGTCAGACATTGTGACACAGAGCAAAAATTACAAAGAACCACTGAAGCTTCTCTGAGTAAAAAGTTCAAATATCAACCAGGAGCATTTTAAGGTGTCAGTACACTGTATCAGAACTGTTTGTCAGATGGTTAAACAGCCTCTGAAAGCCCCTCTCCCAGCACTTTACTGAGGTCAGTTTAAGGGCTTTGTGTCCAATTGTTTCTGTATCCTTTCTGAACACTCTGACATCACACCCACCTCACTCAGTGATTGGCCAGCTGTGTGGAGGTGAGAAAGTAGGCGGGGTATACATTTCTCTCTTAGCTCTCTTTCTGTCACAACTGAGGTCAACACTATCAGCTCTCTTCGGGAGAGACTATCCGAACATGTGCTCTGTTGTACTTTGTGCCAGGAATAACATAATGTCAGTTTTAAATTCTCACCTTCCATCATCAGGTAGATTAAAAACCAGAGGAGGCTCCATTGATGCATCACTCATGGACACACAGCTATGTGCAGGTTCAGGTCCAGGAAAGTCTGGTGTGTGTTGCTGCTCTGGACTTCAACACAAAATACACAGAGCGAATGGGAATGAGGGAGTGATGAGGGATTTGAGTGCTGACAGTTAGAGGTCCTCATTTTACCTCTGGGCTTTGGTCCTTGTGTCATGTTCTCCAGTGGTTTTAGAGGGAGGGACTCCCTCCTCTCTGCCCTCACACTGTTTCATAGCAGAGGCCACACCTTCACACACAATAACCTGCCGGGAGAGCTCACATATTATTGTCATCAGCCCTCTCAGTCACATGACAAACGCACAGAGCTCTGACTGGAGGAAACAGCTCATCCACCTAAATACTAAATACACTCATCTGAATCACTTTTTCACTTCTATTTGACTGACTTGGAATCTTGGATTTTAAATGCTCTTATTTTTACAAGTGCTATATCAGTCAGAGCAAGCCGCGGCAGCTAGTCCAATAATCCCAAATCAATTATGTTACCATGGTAGCTCCTGCTGAACTCACATCCACATCAGCCCCCAGAGTCGTTCTACCTTCATCTCTAGGAAACAGAGAGAAGAGTTGAAAGCATCAGTCCAAGCACTGATCAGCACATCAACTGAAAGAAAACTCATCATAACTCATCAGTTTCATTTTTACATAATTTTGTCCTGAAAAAATGTCAAATATCAGCGTCTTCTCTATGTTTCTTATCAGTGTCAGGTGAATCCACAACAGTCCACTCGTTGGACTGTCTTACTCTTTAAACACTGAACACTTATTGATGCACTAACTGATACATGGCTCAAGAGTGGTTTCCATTTATCTTACAGTCAAATATAACAATTTTTTTTAAATAAAAATGACTTTCTGCAACTTTAAGGCATCAATAATAATCATGCAGTTTCATAATAATACAACACTGACAGATGTACAGTTTACATGTGCATTTTGGTGCCAATACTTCTGTACTCAGGTGACATTTGGAATGCAGGAATTGTAATGGAGTATTTTTACAGTATAGTATTACTACTTTTACTGCAGTAAATGATGTGAACACTTTATTGTATTTTATTTCTATGTCTTTTTGATTTGTTCAGATTCAGATTCTTCTCTGGCAGACTGAAAGAAGCACACTTGTACATTCTAATTACATTGTACTCGCGTAAATGACTCATCACCTAGTTTCAAGTTGAAAACTGAAAGTATGGCTGTCACTGATCCAGACATAGCGTGCAGTTGTTTTAGTCCATAAAGAAGACAAATGTTGGATTTGACGTGTTGAACACTGACTTACTTACGCTCTACTTTACACTTCCACACTTGTTACTGGACGCTTTGGAACCTGACACCCACTGAAGAAAGAATGAAGGAAAACTCACTGTCCTTGTTTGTTTGCAGTTGACTGTCTGTAGAGTTGTCAGCTCTTTCTTCTGTTTCTAATGGAACTAAACTAACACGTTGACAAGATGAACAAAAACAAACTAGTAAAACAGTCAAAAGTGTTGCTTACAAACCTTTAAATGGAGAGAAGAAGAAGCTGTGAAACAACAAGAACATAAAGGGAAAGTACCCTGGACACAGGAAGGAACAGGGAGTTTCCAGATAACGTCATCAGAGGAGGAACCAGAGGTGGTTGCTCAAGTAAAAGTAGCGATGCCTAACTCCTCCATTCAAATTCTTACTGAAGTAAAAGTACAGAAGTTTGAAGAAAATTTACTTACATGCAACCGACACGAGCTCTGTCACTGTTACATTATTGTGCATACAACTTATTGCTGAAATAACATGTTGAGTGTATTTTAGTGTAGTAGAGTAAAAGTTTTAGTAAAACATTGAAATACTCAAGTAAGTACAACTCAGAGCTGTCTGCTAGGGAGCCCTCCAACCTGCCCTGTAAAGCCCGTAAACTATTTGCCACACAGTCACACCTGACATTCCAGTGCTCCCACTACAATTCTTCATCCTACAGTTCGGTCCGCCTGTCAGTCTAAGTTTTAGTAGATCTATACAGAACAGAATGAGATATGCACCAATAATATTCATTCAGTAGTATATTTTCTATAGAATATTAAGTGAATATTAACATGAACATTGTAGAAAATATAATATGTCTGGTTTGGTCTGAGATGCTGGTGCTCTAGTGCAACATCTAGCAGCAAATACATTTAGTATACAACCAGTGCTGCTCGTCATGGAGGAGGATTTGGTTCCCTCTGGTTCCACAAATATAAACTGCATCCTGTCAGTTGCAGTGACACAGATTACAGGCCATCTTCAGTGTTTGGCAATGATATGTAGACTTTTAAATATTATTTTTGGAATAATTTCCTGTATTAAACAGCTGTCTTTGCCTTCGGGAGTGTGTGTAATGAAAAACAAAAAACTAACAACAGAGTGTAAAAATGTAATTTCCTGAAGAGGGATTACTAATAAAAAGTGCTACATTTGAATTTAAAGCAGCTTCACTGCTTCATCTTCATCTGGACTTTGAATAGCCTATATAGGTAATCCTAATGTTACACACTGGACCTTTAAAGTGCTTTAGCTGAAACTGTTTTAGAAAGGTATTTATTCAACTGTATGGTTCTGTTGAATTTAATTATGTAGTCCTAATTCTGACAGGTGTTTCTATAATTCTCCACCCCATTATATCAATGAGCGTAGGTCAAATCAGTGGTTCCAAGCCTGGGGGTCGCCAAAGCCTCATGGGGGATTGCAAGGCCTTGTTGATTTTAAGGGGTGTAAGAATTTTTTTTAAATATACACAATATATATATATATACACCATATCTCAGTATTTACAATGGCTAAGTGTCATGGACAGGAAAAAACTGATTTTTTCAAAAAATATGAAAAATAACAGACAGACAAGTTCCCTAAACAGGAAATAATCTGCTCAAAATTCATCCAAATCACTGGTTTTAAGGTTCAAGGTTACTCTATTTGTACCCATGGGTAGATTCGGTTTACAGTAAAAGTCAAAGCATTCTTTTTCACAAAAAAACACCTCAGACAATAGACAAACATGACAGTTTACCCAAACTTATTGCAGTTCATTATTTGGGTACATTGTACCATTTTGAATATAATATGAAATATCCATAAAATATGTCACTTAAGCAGGGGTCGTCAGTTTATTTAATAACAGAAATGGGCTTCCTTATAGAAAACAGTTAGGAACTGGTGGGTTAAAAAACAGAAACACCTCTTTATTAATGCAATACAATTGAATGAACTACAGTTGAGTCAATGACTCTCTTAAAGAAGTTCAACAAAAACTGTGCATTTGTCGTTCTTCACCTTAGCAGTTTTATGGTTTCCCACGGTCCTGAAGCAGGGTAGTAATGTGTATTGACTCTGCAGCAGTTCTCAGTCCATTCCAATCCAAGTCAATTAGGGAAGATTTAATGCCAGAATGTTTTCAATATTTATATAGCATTCAGAGATTGGGGATAGATGTTAGTTTTTGTTGGGTACCTGCACATGTGGGAATGTTAGTGATGAATTGTGGACAGGCTGGTTAAAAGAGCACCAAATATGAGGCACAAAGTGGACATTTCAGAAAGGGGAAGGTAAAGCACTAATCAAAAAAAAAAAAAAAAAGGTGGGATGGAGATTTTAAAGGTAGAACATAGAATACAAAAACAGCTAGAGCACAAGTATATGTGTATAAGTGAAAGTGTTGGACATGTAATACTGCTCTGTATTAAATACAATGGAGAGTGTTTAGAACAAAGGGTGAGAGAGGCTGGATGAGGATGGATAGAGGGGATATTTGGGACAAATGGAGAGAAGGTGTGGGAAGCAGAGAGGGCTCATAGTTTCTTAATAAACACAGGATTGTTTAGTAGAATATAGAGTTTCGCTTTTTTAAATTTATTTTTTGATTATGTTTTACCAGATCCGGATCTACATACTCCGGTACGGTAGGTGGCGGTATGCACCTGTAAACACAAAGAACAGGAACGTCACTGGAACGCCGCTCGACGCTGACACACGTCACCCTAAACCCCGTCCTGCGTTTGTTTGCAGTTAGCTTAGCAAAGATGGTTGACACAGGAAGGAGTCCTGTGCAGCCACGACAAGTCATTTAAGAGCCCATAACGTTTGAGGCTCAGCACGGCGGACAGGGGTTCGTGTCCTAAACAAACAGCGTGTAGTGTTTCTGTGAGAAAATGGACGACGTGGAGATTACAGACGTCAATGACGGTGACGTGCCTCAGGTGGAGAAGGCGCCGCTCAAAAACAAGGATCTGACTTCCGTGAGCCTCATTGGCAAGTTGACATGATAACAACACTAACCCACGGATTTCTTGACACACGAAACAAGATGGCAGGCTCTTAGTTAGCACGGTTTGTTTTGAAACACTCAGTTTCTAGTTGAGGTTTAAGTTAGCTAGCTTTAGCTAACGTTACCAGTCATCATTAACTCCAGTGTTAGCTGCTAGCTGCTAGCTGAATGATCGATACACAGCGGTGGTCACTGTCGCTTGTGGTATTTGTTGAATATAATATGTGTTTTAATTAAAGCCGCGGTCGCTAACATTTATGAAAATAACATTTGTCATATTTGCTGAACCTTAATTTTTTTCCTGACAGTAGTTTATAGGATAAATAAATAAAATAAAAATAAATAAAAATCAGGTTCCTCTGGCTCCTCCTACTGCTCCTAATGCTATTTGCAAGAATCCACCGGGCCTGAACGAAAACAACCAATCAGAGCCGAGAATGATAGAAGACACTTTGGGTTGGAGGCTGGATGATAGCTGATTGTTGAATCTAATTCCCAGTGTCGGTATTTCAAGATGTTTTTTGTAAAAGTGACCTACTGCAGCGTTATTAAACAGCAGGAACACAGGGCATACAGTTGACAGAAATCATATACTAGTTAACAATGTTATACAGGGTAAATACATACCCATACGTTTGGATAGCTTTCTTATTTTTAGAGTATGGGAGTAATGTAAAGTACTGTTTGACTTGATGCTCAAAACTTTTTATTTTTATTATTTTTTTTATAATGGTTTATAATGTCGTTTCAATATCTATGTAAAACTGACTTGGACAGATAAAAGGGATGAATTATAAGTCACTTCCTTGACCTTATTTTATGTAAAATATTTAGAAGGTAGATGCCATGTTTTCTTCCATTATATAATATAATAATGAGTATGATATTCCATCCTTTGGGTTTATTCCACACTCATACACCACTAAATTCTAGTTTACAGTCTCTCAAACAAAATATCTGACATGGTGAATATTACACGTTATATTCATTCATGTAAGCAGTAGAGCCAGAAACCATGCGTAATTTATTTTATTAATGAGTTCAAGAATTATTATTTTAACCAATATTTTTCTGTCATTTCTTATGCGACCTGGTCTTAACTGTAAAGCCATTTATATCTCACATATGTCAAATAAGGATGCTTTTAACCAAGTAATATGACGTGTTTTCTCCTGCCCCCCACAGTGGGAGAGCTTCTGTCCCTGTATGGGTGGTACCTGCTTGTTGTGACTGTGTTGGTCTACCTGCTCATCCAGTACCTAAGCAAGAGGAGGTCCAGCCAGAGCTCCGGCAGCTCACCCACAGAAACACCACAAGGTCAGCCCCAGTGCTTACTAATAATACCTGTTCATATACTGGGTACAAAGGTCTGATCAGTTAAACTTGAGTCCTGCAGCCAAACAGACACATATTGTAGAGGTCCATATTTTAAAGGTCCATATTGTAGAGGTCCATTGTGAGCGCAATGTGAGGCTGAGCACTATGGGGAAAAATAACAGGATGTGATCAGATATATGCAGTTAACCACTGTGGCACCAGTTAGAAAGAAGCAGTTCTATATAATAATTTCTGGATTATCCAAAGTAACTGGGACATTGTTTCTGGAAGGACATGTGTGAATATTGTTGTGGCCTCACCATTAAAGGATAAGTATGGATCTATTTCATGTTATTTTAATACAATAGTACTAACATTACATATGTACGTAGAGAGAGTTGATGATTCTTCCTGTTCATTGTCTGTGAAGAGATTCAGTGCTTGTTAGTGAAGGCTAAATGTTATGTTTTGAATTACAATTTTCTTTTTATAAAGATCGTGCGCTCGTGGAGAGAAATCAAGAGGCCATGGAAGCAGCCCGGAGAAAGATGCAAGAGGAGCTTGATGCCAAAGCAGCCATCTTCAAAGAGAAACAGAAACAGGTGCTGTAGTCATATAGAAATGTTTGAAGGAAGTGTGTCCACTGTCCATGGTGTCAAACCTGAACTGAATGTGGGATGTATTTTGTGAACAGCAAGAAGAAGAGAAGAGGAGGCAGAAAATAGAGATGTGGGAGAGCATTCAAGAGGGGAAGAGTTACAAAGGAGCTGCAAAACAAGTGAGTTTGTCGTTTGTCACTTTTATCCCCACTGTTGTAGCCACTTTTTAAAATGACATTAACATATCAAACAGTATTGAACAGGATTGATTTTGAAAAAGCTAGTGTTCACACTAGGACACTAACTTTTTCAGATCACTTTCTAGAAGTGCACCAGCCACACAAAAGACCAAAATATGAAATTCCTTTTTTTTTTTTAAACCTGTCATTTATTCAA